ATTTAAAATAGGTGATCAAATGGTTGCCTAAAAAATTAATTACTTTCTGAATTCATTAAAAACTTAGCTACTTAAGGGATCCAGGCTTGTGTTTAAAACAAAAACAAAAAAACAAAAATAAAAACAACTTTGGGGCTTTTGCAAAGAACGATTAGGTTTTACCTCAGTTCATTCTCAGCAAAAGTCTCAGATTCAGGGGGCTGGGGTTGTGGCTCAGTGGTAGTGCCTTCGCTTAGCACGGGTGTGGGCCTGGGTTCGACCCTCAGCATCACATAAAAATAAAATAAATAAAGGTATTGTTTCCAACTACAACTAAAAAAATAAATATTTTTTTAAAAAGTCTCAGATTCAATTTCATCCACCTTAGATGTGTTCTTTCTAAAAGAAAAAAAACTATTAATAATAGTCACAGGGAACCAGTATTTCTCATCTTTATTGACACTCTATTTAAGTTCTAGTAGAACTTAAAAACTCTTGTCTTCTTTCTAGAAATATTTTGTCCAAGCCCTCCAGCCATCCTTAATGGGAGGCACACGGGAACTGCTTTGCAAGATATTCCATATGGAAAAGAAATATCTTACACATGTGACTCCCACCCAGACAGAAGGATGACCTTCGACCTCATTGGGGAGAGCATCATCCGCTGCACAAGTGACAATCAAGGCAATGGGATTTGGAGCAGCCCTGCCCCTCGCTGTGTGCCTTCTATTACTTCTGGTCAGTATCCACTTCCACATATCTGAATGGGTTGACAATCTAAGCGAGACTTTCCACATTTCTGTAGCAACAGTCAATTTTGCTTGTGAACATGACTTTGTTATGAATGGCAGAGACAGTAATGCCTCTCAGGTGAATAACACTTAGAGCGGCTGGGTTCCTGGGTCAGTGGTATGTTCCTACCTGTGTATAGTCTCAGGTACTTGAGAGGCTGAGACCGGAGGACTACTTGAGCCCAGGAGTTCAAGACCAGCCTGGGCAACCTAGTGAGACGCCTTCTGAAAAAAATAAAAATAAAAAGCCAACTTGTTGTAAGGCCAAGTAGGTAGAATTCTGGCGGTTCCTCCTGTAGGGTAAGAATGGGATGAGAGCAGGAAGAGGGGTGGAGAGAGTCCGTGAGGTTCCATTTCTGTTGAAAATGTTTTCAAATCCCTGAAAACCAATGTGGAAGGAAATACTCTTGTGACATCTCTACTGCCAGTTGTCTTTACACTGAACAGACGGGAGCACTGAGCAGAAAACACATGTCAATGGCATAATTTACCATGGGACTGGTAATGCTACAGAAGAAATTTTAAAAACTCAGATGTCAGTTTTTACATGCTTTTTGTTACTGGCAATGTTTTGTTCAAGCCACTGCCTGCATTTGGCTGATCCTCCACCTCACCATTAACAAAGGTAGCTCAGGCTGGGCGTGGTGGCACATGCCTCTAATCCCAGAAGTTCAAGAGCCTGAGGCAGAAGGACTGAAAGTTCAAAGCCAGCCTCAGCAGTTTAGCAAGGCCCTGTCTCAAAATTAATAATAATAATAATAATAATAAAGACTAGGCATCTAGGCATGTGGCTCAATGATTAAGCACTCCTGAGTTCAATCCCCAGTACCAAAAAAAAAGTCTCTCAGGATGCCCTGGAGATGTGGAGGTTAAGGTTGTGCTTTTAGTCTATGTAGCTTTTTCCTTTTATGTGACCATTTGACTTTAAATAACTGTACCAGGTAATCTTGGTTCCTTTGTGGCTGTGATTGCCCACACAAAGTCTCTACCTCCAGTAAGGACAGAACAGCATTGAACTGATAGTTTGTGGATGCTTATAGTACTTCTGAAAAAGTTTGCAGAGGATTGTGTTCAAATGCAGTCATCTACTCTAAAGAATCAGCCTTCTCCTGATGAGCTAGCTGTGAGTGGCTTATGACCACCTGCCTGTCTTAGGTCTTCCGGTGCCTCTAAGCCAGAGATATTCATATTGGTGTGTTCACACTTCTGCATTTAACTGGCTGCCTTTTCTTTTCTCTGTGTGGGAACTCGTTCTCAGCATGCCCACATCCACCTAAGATCCAGAATGGTCATCACATTGGAGGACATGCTTCTTCATATCTTCCTGGGATGATGATCAACTATACGTGTAACCCCGGCTACTTGTTGGTGGGAACTACCTTCATTTTCTGTACACACAAGGGAACCTGGAGCCAGTCTAATCATTATTGCAAAGGTATCTCAATTCTTGATATTTCTCATTCTTTCTTGGTAATGTTATGGGAAATAGATGCATGAGGTTAATCAGGCTGAAAGATCATTGAGATTATTGTCATTTAATAAGCTTGGGAGAGTGGTGACGTGAGTGTCAATAGGGGAGGAGAAAAGCAGAACAGAAGGTAGGAAGGAAGGCTTCCCAAGGATCCTTAGCTCTGCTCTGAAAGTGAGGGTAGTGGGTGAAATTTCCAGATATCGGATAGGCATCACCGATTTCAAATGCTTTGCTGATTTTTAACTAATTGCTCTAGAGGATCTCAGAGGTCACAGCTAGTCCTCACAAATACCCTTAGAAGATAAGTTAGAGACTAGAAGTGTCCTTTGCCATGAGGAAAACTGAACCAAAAGGGAGACAGTTAAGTACCCTGTCCATCTCACATGAACAGAGAGGTTGAAAACAATTACTTCCTAAAATTACTGAGTATGGAGCCTCCTGATACTAGAAAAAAACCAAAGATTTATTTTATTTGCTCCCTGGAGCCAGTCCTTCAAACTATTTCCTTTATTCCAGCTTATCTGCAAAAGCAATACCTGAGCCCGGCATAGTGGTGCACGCTGGTGGTTCCCAGCAGCTTGGGAAGCTGAGGCAGAAGGATGGCAAATTCAAAGCCAGCCTCAACAACTTAGCGAGGCCCTAAGCAACTTAGAAAGATCCTGTCTCTAAATAAAATATAAAAAAGACTGGGGATGTGGGTCAGTAGTTAAAGCACCCCTGGGTTCAATCTTTCACTTAAAAAAAAAATATCAACACTCCATTTAAAAATCTTTCTTGGTAATGTTCTATAAAGCTCCAAACAGGAAACTTAAATAATATTCTATAATTAGACAGGGTTCTGAGGGTTTTTGTTATTGGATTCCAAAAGAGTCCGATAAAGCAGGATTGTCACTTGCCATGTTTTAGAGGAGGAAATTAAGGCCAGAGAGAGGCACTAACTAGTCCGTGTTAGGCAGCCCATGAATGGTCGTCTCAGGATTGGACCCCTGCTCAGGTCCTACTTTTAAACACTGCGCTGTATACTGTCCCTTTTCAAATGCTATTCTTTTGACCTTACGAAAGTGTAAGTTAAGTGCTTTGGCTACTTGCTTCCTTTCTTGTCTGTTCTTTCTTTTTAGAAATACTAGGCTCAGGGCAGGGATAATGTAGGAGGGACTTCAGACACGCCTCAATTTCAGATGTTAGGGAAAAGCCCACCTTAGGACCTGCCCTGGGTATGGGATCACAGGGCCCTTCCTGTTCTCAGAGTCTCAGAAGTCCTTCCCATGCTCCCAGCCCTCAGCTTTCTCGTTTTAGAGAAAATGAAGCCCACCACAGAGATGGGAAGTGACTCTCTTGTGCTTACTGGCAACAATAGATGGCACAAAATACAGAATCCTTGTGGCTCTGCGCATACCTATGAGTTCTTCCCCCTTGCTTCAGTTATTTAAAAAGCATGAAAATGAGTAAATATTTTAAGACACGGGTTAAGACTGTAGGATGGTTCTGCTCTTGACAATGAAAGGCTAGTGTTCTATGCTCGTGGCAGCTGCTTTCTTTCTATTTATATAAAATTCCTTTTTCCTTAATAACTGTCCCCTTCAAGTGTACCATAGACCAGGGTGTCTCCATTCTTCGCACTGGCAAGATCAGCCGGAACCTGGTTCAAAGGGCAGACTCTCCAGCTCCATCCTATGCCCTCTGATTCTGTTTTGAGAAAGGGTCAGAAGTCTACTTTTAACAAACCCATCAGAATTTCTGATGCAGGAAGATCACAGACCACATTTGAGGAAATTCCACTTGACCTTGTTGGTACTTGTAATGGGAAAAACATTGGGCTAATTTTGAGATTCACAATGGCAAAGGAGTCTTTGTTTGAAGTTGAAGGACCTATTGATGGCAGAAAGAGAAAGCAAATCAAAGGATGAGTTAAATGAGATAAAGTAAAAGAAATAGATAATATTTTAAATTCAGAATCATGACTTGCTAGCTTCTTTTGTTCTGTGTATAGAAATGGGCCTGAAACACATGCTCCTAGAGCAAAAATATCAGTATGTATTGTACACCTAGAGAGTTAACATGCTGCTGCTGTGTCCTTATGGTGTAACCCAAATGGATTCCTGGCGAGAGATCATGTTATCCTAATTCCTGATCCTTCCCAAACACGCTGGTCACAAAGTTGTTAATACTCAAAAGTATTCCATATTCCTTTACTGTGTTTTCATTTTAAGAAAAATAAAAGAGAACCTTAAATCACAAGATGTTTGGGGTGGGGGAAGGGTCAATAGTTCTTGATTGAAAGCATGCCCCGTCTTTGTTGAGGGCAAGTTAAGTTTGGGGTTATGATTGTTTCATTCCAGTGATTTCAGTTAACAACAATAAAATCTCAAGCCCCAATTTGTCTCCTTTCAGAGGTAAAATGCAGCCTTCCACAGTTGAATGGACTTAAGCAGGAGTTGAAAATGAGAGAATATCACTTTGGAGATAATATAACTTTGGAATGTGAGGATGGATATATTCTGGAAGGCAATCCTTGGAGCCAGTGCCAGGCAGAGGACAGATGGAACCCTTCTCTGGCCATATGCACATCACGTAAGTACCAGTACAGGGAACGGAGCCCTTCCCAGCCAGTTCATTCATTTGTCCATCAGGTGTGGTGTGATGTTCATGGCATATGCTAGTGAAGAAGTTGAGGATGTGTCATCTCAAAGTATGTCAAATTGTAATACTGATTATTTCAAGCTGAAGTCACTTGAGGAACTATAAGTGCAAAAGGGCCAATTTGCCTTCCTTTTCCTATATACAGCAAGCCATAAAAATTCTTTTGGAGAATCTGGAGGTGTAACTCCAAGGTAGAACTCTTGCCTAGCACTATGTCTTCCATCTCAATTTTCTCTTCACTCTTCTCACTGCATCCATTGCTCCTTGGGGTCCTGGGTGCTTTTCATGTCTGGATCTATTTATACCCTGATTTGTTTATATCCTGGATTTGTTTACATCACTCTGTGGTTGCATATATCACATAGTGATGATTTACCTACAGCCAGTGAGCCTCAGTAAAAGCCACATTGAGTGAGCCTTCAAGAAATTTTTTTTGGCCTAGCCTGCACAAGGCCCTGGGTGTAATCCCCAGCACCACCAAACAAACAAACAAACAAATATTTTCCGTGTGTGTCATGAAGTGTCTTTTGAGCTGCAGAGAGTAGCAAGCTCACCTCTCTCCCAGCTGTAGGCTACAGGATTCGAAGCTAGTGTAGCTGGTATAGCAGATTTAGAAATCATGTTGCATTGAGCTCTGTAAAAGAAGAGCCCCCGGTCCTGGTGGCGACAGGAGTATGGTGAAGGTAGAAAATACTGAACTCTGAACTTACACACTTCAAGGCTCAGACTAGTATATACAACTTTTTTCTTAGTCCAAGTTAATTTTATTTTTTTCCTCTCTGCTCACATCTTAAATCTCTTATTCATAATATGTGGTTATAAACCAAGATTGTTCGAGATGCATTTGTTACAGTTAATCTTTCAAAAGTGTTAATACTCATCATAAATAACATTTCTAAATTATAAACTCGGCATTTCCTTGAAAAAGTTCAAGGCTAACTAACTGAGTGCCTTTGGGGTGTTTTGGGGATCTGGCTGGACGGACAGAAGATCGATTAATTGGGGAATCAACCCCACCAGATATGAAAATAAAATATAAGGTCATAATACCAAACTCACTTTGCACCAAAACAAGAATAAGCACATTAATAAAGGACAATTGATATTAATAAGATAAAGGCTTAGTGTAAATAAAAATAAAATTGTCTTATAGGTGTAATAGTGGAGACAAATTCATGAGAAAAGGCAAGTTATCAAATTATATAAGTAGCACTCAAAAACAATTTAGAACTTTTTAAAAATAAATACAAACTATAATAAAAAGTTAAAAGTTTTAAAAGCCAAACCATAGAAAATCTAAAACACACACACACACACACACACACACACACACTCACACACACACTCAGTATTTATGAAATAACTAGTATTGGGGATGTAGTTCCATAGTAGAGCATGTGCTTAGCATGTACAAGGCCCAAGGTTTGATCCCCATCACCACCAAACAATAAAACGTAGACAGAGACCAATCTTTGGAATTCAGATGTAATTTTAAATAATTATATAAGGTGTTAACTTTTTTTTTACCTGTTGACCAATTTGACTTAAAACTTATATACTTTAAAAAGTAAGTAAGAAGACATTAGATAGAAGGAAAATAAATAGAAAATATGATGAAAGGTTAATAGTCCTATTACAGGGGGAGCAGTAGCGGGGGTTGTGGTAATAGTAATAGTTGTAAAAGTTAACCTATTGAGCATTAGTACCACTGTTCAAAGATTAGGTGGAGATAAATAGATAGACAAGTAGAGTGATTCTAATTTAATTCACATAATAATCTATAAGGAGGGTAGTATTCTTATTATCCCCATTTTATAGACATAGAAACTAAGACACAAAGGATTTAAGTCCCTTGCCCAAGACTGCAAATACGGTAACCTAGGTCCAACTAGGCAATTTACCTATCTGAAGGGGCTCTGTGCTTCAACAATAAATAAGCAGACAATGAGCTTATATATTTGTAGTTCAACAAGGAGTGAAAGTTCTAAGTATTAATCATAGTGAAAGGGAAAGTTATTAGGCCAAGGTCACAAATACCAGACAAAAGGCAGTTCTTTATTCAGATAGATGGAAATATATAGAATGACTAAGAACAAGCCAAGTTAACTGTGAACCAGCAGGTTCTTAGAACTCAGACCCCTCATGAATTGGGCTAGAACACATATGAACTCCTTTATCCTTTGCTGAAAAACTAGACTAAAAATAGGCCTCTTGGCTTTCTTTTTCTTTCTCTTTCTATCGTATCTAATCTTGGACTATGAAATATTGGGGCTTTATAGTGATACAAGGGCAAACAAAGACAAGATTATGGAAAACAAGAAATTTTTAAAAGAACAAAATAAAACCCAAAAGCTTTTTATTTATTTATTTATTTATTTATTTATTTATTTATTTATTTATTTTTGTTCCAAGGCTTAGGACAGATTGCTCAAGATACCAGTCCGAGGCCTTCCTAAAAAGGAAGCTGGGGAGTAAATCACAGAGTTGGTCCAGGCTTGGAACAAATATCACAGGGAGTTTTGAGAGCAGCCCAAATTAGAAAAGTAAACTCTGAGTACTACATTAGAAAATGAATTTCCTGGAATTCCCAGGCCTACCGCATTCCCATTTCGGAGGCCTGACTTGTCGCCTCATCTACCTCTGAGTGGAGGGTTATCTTGAGTTCCCCCTTAAGGCCAGAATTAATACCTATAACCTATAATTAACTATGTTCTCAAGACTTTTGTAAGCACAATTGCATGCAAGACAAGTAATTTCAGTTCCAGTAACGATGTGAAAACTAAGAAAAGCCTTCACTGGAATCTCTCAGAGAGGCATAAAGATGTATTACCCGATGTGGCGCCTGTATCCTAAAATCCACTTTACCCACGTCTGTCTCCCAAGGTCCTCTTCCTTAATGTAACTACTTTCTTAGGACCTTATCTTGTTGTTTTCCACCAAGACTCACTTTCAAAAGCTGCCGCACAAGTGGGCGTATCTGTTCCCTGTTTCTCTTCTCATTTTTGGGTCTTCTTAGTTTACCAAAGTCCTCATGCTATTTCTAAGTAAATAGAACTTTTGAAGTTCACCATACAAATCCTGAAAGAGGAACTGGGAAATGCAAAAA